GGAATTGAGAAAGCAACAACAATAACAACACCAACAACAAAACGTCTCAACTAGACCACGAAATAAGAAATCAGACTAGTCGGAGAGGATTTTTGTAATTATATGACAATAAAAGCACTTGTTATTATCTAATAATTGTTTTATTTATAAAATATTATACAAGTTATTGTGGGTTTTGGTACTTCCAATATAATTATACAATACATATACATTCTTAACACTACATGAACGAATACTAATTTTATGATAATTGAAATCAGTGGGGCTTATAAACCAGCTTGGGTACTTTACCTACTGAAAATTCTAAATTAATTATAGTTAGAGGATTTACATTAATTTTAACATGAACTTTGATTAGAAATTCTTGTTTAACATAACCTTCAACGTAAACAGTATCAATGTCTTTTAAATTGTCCTGAAGCACTTGATTAAGTTCTCCATAGTCTACACAGCCTATATTGTATGGAACACCATGAATATTGTGGGATACATAGTTGAGTTCTTTCTTCTGGGCTTCATTCAACTCACGATGTCGAATTTTTGGTTCAAATACGGAACTTCTAAGCAGTTTCCCATCACAAAAAGCCAATTCTTTAACTTGAAAAATCAGTAGAAAAGTAACATTGACCGTCCAAAAGCACAAACTCAATCCTTTTCTGCGAATGCTTGATAGTCACTGGCTACATCAATGTTCTAACGTTACCTGATAAAGGTAAGTATTCAAACACCCGATCATGTACGATTATACAACAGGCTCGTGTATCTTCCGAAAAATTATCTGAGCTTTGGAACTCTAATTTCACATCGGTCGTGTTGCTTTTGAGGGATTCGTTCTGTTTTGAGCAGTCTATAACAAATAATGCCCTGTTGGCAAAATTGGGAAGGTCCGGCAATGGTTCACTATTGGTTTTACCCAAATACGTGTTTTGAAATTCGGTATACATCCGGTATGCTTCTGCAAACTGTTTGTCATCGAAATTAAGATTCAGTGATTCATACGGATAAACTTCAGAGTTTAGATACAGCTTGACATCTGTAATGTCTAAATTATCGAAAAGAGTAATATCATATCGAGGATTATCTTTTCGGTTTTTTGGAAAAACACTATGATATATCTGGCTCTCTCGGACATTGATTTCACAGTCCACACGTCTCGCTTGGATTTTCTCAATGTAAGTAACTCATGAATCTCCCAACATCTGAATGGAATAAATATGGGTTTGTTGTTCGAAATATCTTCCAATAATTTCAATTTTAAAACATCGTTTGGATAAATGTGCCTCACCCTCAATTCTACTGTGTCTAAAGTAATTTTTGCTGTTTTATCTCCAGTCGTATTGATGTAACAGTTATCATCATTTCTAGCCCTGACAAGTTTTATTTTCTGTCTTCCCATAATAGCCTTATTGTAATCGGAAAAGATATTTAGTAAAATCTTCAAGGGTATCAGGAAATTAAATTTGTTCCCCGCTAAAGATTTCACTTCACCCTTAGGCCAATTCCATCCAGCTCGATCGAGTGCTCTACTCTCTTGATCGTTGAGACATAAAATATTCCTCACTGTGCTAGTAAGCCCCGGATCTCGAATTTTATCAATTTCTTTGCCATTTAATTCATAAGTGATAGATTCAAATAGGAAAGCACCTGCATTAATTGTTAGATTACATTTTCCTGTCTTTCCAGCGGTAACGTCTTCATTAAACTTTCCTTCAATGTAGACTTCGGCTTGGCTGATATCTATAAATGCATCTTGTTGATTGATAACAATTTCTATTTCATCACTATAGTTGAAAGAATTGGTGAAAGGATTGTAAGTATGCCATTCCTCTCTCGCTACAGACTCATCGGTGTTGACCGACTGAAATATTTGCAGTTTTCCTGATACGATATCCATATTTGGAAGTTAGAGATTTCAACCCAATCAAACTTTTATGTGTGAGCGCTTGCTTTGACGGTTGACTGCAGACTGAGCTCGAGTTATTAACACCACTGTTTAAATAGTCACCAGTTTTATTAAAAACCAGGACCATATTTCTTAAGCTCTAATCTCACTATGATCTCCTCTCCTCGGAAATTAACTGGCCGTCCTTCTTGATCAAGTATATTAATTGTTATATTATCTATACTGTCCCTATTGATAGGTAGAAATATCAAGTTTCGAGGATCTATTATAATTCGGTATCCAGGATCCACAGCTGGAGTAAATTCGTATAACGTATGTGAAGGATTACTATTGAAGTAGGAACCAGAGATGATGTTGCACTCTATCCGTATACTAGCCACCGATATTATCTCAACTGGCAGATCGGATTCGTGTAGATAATTCTTTTCCAGAGATTTTTCTGAAAATCCCAAAAGTTTTCCTATACTATCCTCAGGCTTGAAATTAATATCATATATAGCCTTTAGTTCACACTTCAATGTATTGTTGTTTGGTTTAAGAGAAATATTTTCTGTTGTAGTCGTACTTAATTGTTTTTGTAGATAGGCTTCAATATCGGTAACCTCGTACGACCCGGTTGGGATTTCTATTATTTGTTGTTTTCCTGTAACGCTATAGTAGAACTTGTTTCGACCTGGTTCAATGTTGGGAATGGAATTCCACGTACTGAGTGAGATGAGAGCTAATGAATAGTTATAACTAGAATCAAGCTTGATGGGTGGTGTAATATCAACACTCAAGCGACTTGTTCGACCTTTCAACGTGAATGTCTGAGACATGACTGAAATAAAATCAAAACACAATTACTTTATATAGATTTATTAAACAAAAAACCAAGTACAAGATGTCCACAATTGTAGGAGTTATATGACTGATACTGATCATAGTTGAAAAGTATCTTACAATTTTTAAAATAACGAACGAGTTCTTTTGGTGGATTTAGGTTCCCAAAACTATCAAAGTAAACAACAGTGTTTTCCTTTTTCTTATAAGCTACCCAATGTGATCCCGATCCCATATTCGTATCCAAATTAAGAACCCCGCATTCGGTTTTCTTTGAAGACGATGGTAAGGTATCTGGCATAAACACGCCTCTAAAATTGAAAATTTTAAGTTTTTTAACGTATCGCTTGATATCTTGATCACTTAGTGGACGATCGGGTAGCTTTATTGGAAGTTTTTTGACATCTTTTTCAGGTAAAGTCCATATCCGGTCTTGTGTTTACTAAGATATAATCCACTCCCTTTTTTTCCTAACGCAATAGCTTCCATCATTTCGTTGTGTCGTTTGGACTCGACAAGTTTATCTTTCGCAGAACGAGCGTCATTCACTGCTTTTGCCACCCCTGCCGCACCCCCACTTAAAGCGCCCAGCGCGCTAAGTCCGGCAAACAGAGGTATAAGAGGAATAATTCCACCTACTTTTGGTACTGGGATAACTCGTGGAACTCGAATCTTTTTGGGTCCACCAGCTTCTTTGATTGTCTTACGAGCTGCTTGAAGCGCCGATTTAATAAAGTCTTTTATTCCTCTACCACGATGCTTTACTTGCTTTCTAATATTAGCCACAACATAGGATTTGAATGGTTTCAAACTTTTCGATCGAGCCATGCTGAGTTTACATTTAGTTTTCTTCTAACCGAAATTGCGAAATCCTATCCTTTCACCCGTTCCCACGATATATTTTTTAGCACTTTATCTGGCCGATGTCTGTGTTGTAGATCCGTGAATTTCAAAAGAAAGCTTGTTGATGTAGCTATTTAAAGGACCTACACTCGATGGTGTATTCATTAAGAATGAAACAGAGGTAGAGTGAACATTGTTTATATACGATGCGGAAGATGAAGCAGAAAATCAACATAAAGATCGATAACTTTGACATTAATAAGTCCACTAGTGTTAGAAAGAGACATGGAGAACCTTTACCGAACACAATTAGAGCAATAATATGCGGGCCAAGTAATTCAGGGAAAACAAATGTTATGCTTAGTATGTTAACCAATGAGAATGGACTTAGATTCCGAAATGTATATGTATATTCCAAGTCATTGGACCAAGAGAAGTATAAGCTTCTGAAAGAGGTGCTCAACCGTGTTGCTGGTATAAACTTTTATGGATACAGTGATAATGAAACCGTTTTAGATCCGCATACAGCTAAGTCAGATTCGGTGTTTATATTCGATGATGTGGCTTGTGAGAAGCAAGACAAGATAAGAAACTATTTTTGTATGGGCCGCCATAATGCTATTGACTGTTTTTATCTTTGTCAGACGTATTCAAAAATACCTAAGCAATTGATTCGTGATAATGCAAATATGATTATAGTATTTAAGCAGGATGACACGAATCTGAAACATGTGTACGACGATCACGTTAACACAGATATGTCTTTAAATACGTTTAAAACTATTTGTTCTGAATGTTGGAAAGATAAATATGGTTTCTTAGTCATTGTTAAAGATGATGATATCACGAGCGGTAGATATCGAAGTCAGTTCAACACCTATATATCTCCATAGAAGACAAATTCTCCTCAGTATCCCTTAAGACGTCGCTGTGTACAGACCCCTGCAATAGCTGTACCGTAGCTGTCTCTGAACTAGTGTAGCTGTCTAAAAGCTGTCTCTAGACCTGTATAGCTGCCTAAAAAAGCTGTCTTCTGACCTGTATAGCTGTCTAAAAAGCTGTCTCCGGACCTGTATAGCTGTCTAAAAAGCTGTCTGCTGACCTGTAAAGCTGTCTCTAGACATGTATAGCGGTATACGGACCTGTATATAGCTGTATACAGACCTGTCTCCGGACCTGTATAGCTGTCTAAAAAGCTGTCTGCTGACCTGTAAAGCTGTCTCTAGACCTGTATAGCGGTATACGGACCTGTATATAGCTGTATACAGACCTGTCTCCGGACCTGTATAGCTGTCTAAAAAGCTGTCTGCTGACCTGTAAAGCTGTCTATATACCTGTATAGCGGTATACGGACCTGTATATAGCTGTATACAGACCTGTCTCCTGATCTGTGTAGCAGTATAAAAGACAGTGTAAAACCTGGTTGGAAATCATGGCTTCGGTTCCAAGCGAAAATGATAGGAATATCAAGAAGAAAATACTGAACGCTGCTAGATCTATAAGAAAAAAGTATTTGGCTTTAAAGCTGGAGAGAAAAGAGGAAGATGAGGCACTTGATAGGATAATAAACCCTATAACTGAACCTCTAAGAGAGTTTGTTGAGAAAACGGTTGGCAGAAAAGTCCAAGTTAAACATGAAAAAGTTAAGCTCGAAGCTCCTAATACATATTTTGAATCTGAACCGAAACTTCCTAGAAATGTAGAGTTCCAACCAGCAGAGATTATTGCTCAAACGAGTCAGAATTTAAAAAGTGATGATGATGATGATGATGATGATGATGGCGCTGAGGATGTCTTTTATGAACCCTTACAACATTTGAAAGAAGATCTGCAGAAATCAATTCACGATAGATCAGGAGCGTATGAAGAATTTTTAGATCAGTATCCCAAAGTAGCACAAGAGTATGTAGATAGATACTATAAACAATCAGATGAAATAGACCATTCTTATGGCTTGAAACATGATATGAAAACCGATGATTGGTCTATGGGATCACAAAAAGTCAACTTTCTCCCGAATGGAGATATTAAAGTCGGGTCTGTATCTTATAAAGGAACGCAGGGCTTATATGATCTTTTATTTCTGAAAAAGCCGATCTATCAGACAGAGGATGATAAGTTGCAGTTTACGGATATTCTAAACAGGACCAATGTTCATCGAAGAGATTTTGATCCATCCAAACAAGTTAAAGGGTCCACATCTTCAAAATATAGACAGTTTGTTAAACCTTTGGTCTCATCATCTGAAGCAAAAAGGCTTAAATCAAGTAACAGTGCCTCGCCATCTGGCCGAAATCCATCTACAAGATCTCAAAATAAATCCGGAAGTGCTTTATTATTAGAATATAATGAGAAACGAAAACAATATGTTTATTACGATGACGTCAACGAATTAATTGATAGACTTGTTAAATTGGATGCATCACAAAAAGCTGGAAATACCAATATCAATGAGATTATGAGTATTTTAGAGGAACTGGCTGAATTGGGTGTGATTGAGTTTAATAAATAGTTCTACATGTGTGATTTTGAATCATTATAGGGTTAGCCACTTTCAAGTTTAGATCTCTTAACATTTATGTACTGTGAGTCACAACGAAAAAAAAAATGAAAACTATTACAAAGGCTAGGGAACGGGTGGTTGAAGAACTACATAAGCCAGCACGTAAAAAGTTTAATCGTAGAAGATTTATACAGTATGGTCTGGATGATACTTTTGCCACCGACTTGGCTCAGCTTGATCAGTATGCTCGAGAAAACAAGGGATTCAAGTACATATTGGTTGTTATCGATTGTTTTTCTAAATTTCTGTGGACTAGAGCTGTAAAATCGAAATCAGCGCAAGATGTCGCTAAAGCTATGGAGAGCATTTTGAAAATTTCCGGAAGAATACCCAAGAAACTTATTTCGGATAATGGAAAGGAATACTATAATATTCAATTTTCGAGTCTAATGAAGAAACATGGAATACATCATTATAGTTCGTTTAGTCCTCTAAAAGCATCTATTGCAGAGCGAGTAATTCGAACCATTAAAGAAAAGTTGTTTAAGCAATTTACATTAAACGGAAACCATAAATGGATCGATTTATTGAAGCCTGTTACCGATGCATATAATGACCGCAAACATAGCACGATTAAAATGAAACCAAGCAAAGTTACTAAAAATAATGAAAAAACACTACTTAATACTGTTTATAGTCATATTAAGGTAGCTGGAAAACAGAAATTCAAGGTCGGTGACGTAGTTCGCATAAGCAAGTTCAAGCATGTTTTTCAGAAAGGATATACCCCAAACTGGACTACGGAATTGTTCCACATAGCTAAAGTGAGAATTACAAATCCAACAACATATTTGTTAGAGGACTTGCAAGGTCGGCCTATAAGTGGTGGTTTTTATGAAGTAGAACTACAGAAAACAAAACAACCTGATGTGTTTCTTATAGAACAAGTATTACGAAAGAAAGGAAATAAAATGTATGTAAAATGGTTGGGCTTTGAAAAATCTCATAATAGCTGGGTTGACAGGGATAAAGATCTAGTTTAAAAGCGGATTTAAACGATTTGCAACTCATTTGTAATACTGAGTGTGAAGTGTCAAGTTTGCAAAGAAAGTAGTCCTTCTCATTCACATAGCTTAAGTCATAATCATAAAAATAAGTATTGTACGGTAATTTAACATGACAACACCAGCAGATATTGATTGTACGGATAGTGAAGATGAGAGCTGCTCAACCTGTGCCTCACCTAATTGGAAGTATGTCAATAGTATGTTTTTGATGAGTAAACAAGAAATCATGAAAAAATCAACATTTTTGGGGGAGACTTGTTATTCAACCAAGAATTTCAAAATAATTTCTGGAATAAGTATTGCTCGAGGACTAATTCCTAGCCTAAAAGTCACAAGTACAATTCTAAATCTACCTGAAGAACAAGTGTCTGTTTCGTTTAGCTATATAGAATGGTCAAATTTCTGGATATTGTTACATCCTTCATGGAACTTTCTGGAGATGGTAGTGATGTCATAACAACTGTTTCATTATCGGATAACATCATTGTTTCTACAGTTATGTGTTTTGGAGAGAGAATTATCAAGTTAACAAGCGGAGAAGTTGATTTATGTTTTTGTATAGACGATATAGAATCCATTTCATATATCCGAGAAATAATAGATTATAGGTTAAGTTTACTTATAGAACTAGATTTTAGAACTTTTTATGATAATAGTTTAAAATATTATAATGTAACCACTGTTAACGAAAATAATTTTTTAAGTGTCATAAAAGAATATTGTAATTTAAATATAAGTATGTGAATTATCCTATTTTATGTTAGAATTCGTATACCTCAACCCGGAAAAAATAATTATGGATTTCAAGAAATTATGTGTTTTAGATATCTAGTGATGTAATAATAAGAATGTGAACTTGTGAAAAATAATTTTTATGCAATAAATTCTTTAAAAACATTCGTTATCTTATTTCCATTTTAGTTTTCAGGATAAACTACAAGAGAGAGAGAGAGAAAGAGAGAGACAGAGATAGAGAGAATAAGAGTTTGTAGCAGTAGACATTCAATTTAGTATCATCATGTCTGTCGATAAGTTTGGTCGTTCACAGCGCTTAAAAACTGTTAACGAGTATAAAAATTTGGTGTTGAAACGACGTTTGGAAAACCAATCACAAGATTATGCAACGAAATCCTATATGGATAAATCATTGAGAGAATTTTTGGAAAAATTTAAAACAGATTCTGAAAACCAGAAAAAAGTCACTGAGACACCCTCACAAGAATTATCTGGAAAGTATAAGCAGATAGAATCTTTAATCAAAGATAATCAAAAGAAAATTGAAACTTTGACAAATAAGAGCCACTCGTTTGAAAATGATTTTAAAACAGTGAATTCTTCAATGAAAGAAAGTCAAAAGAAAATTGAAAGTTTAGCCACTATGAACCAATCGATTGGCACTGATATCAAAAACAAATTGGCTCCAAGAATAGCTGCCTTGGAAGAACAACATAAGTTATTTAATATAACACCTTCATATATAAGTATTGGTGACAAGAGAATAGTCAGAGCTTCCAAAGCTATAAACGATAATGATTTAATCACGAAAGGTCAGGTGATCAAAATGATTAACGAGAAGCATCCTGTTTTACCAGCAGCAGTGGCGAATAAAAAGGGAAAAGGAAAGGGAAACTAAAGATGAAGACTAGAACGGGAATCAACTGGAATCACACTACTTGTATTTATTTAGTTTATGCTCATAGGAAAAAGTCAATGTTCTTGATGGTTCAATAAATTAATTTTACGGGAAGCCTGGGAACTTTTTTGATACTGTGCGAAAATCTCTAGATCGGCGGCGCCTTTAATTTGAAGTTTCGAAGGTTTGACCTAGGCGAACCCCAATTTTGAGAATTTAAAAATGGATCCGAAATGGGATGGAGTATTTTCATCAACTTCCAGATTTGCAAATGGACCAGCAACATGCAAATTGGAAAATTGTTCCAAAACCAGTGTATCAAGAATATAATATTGGAGACATTGTGCAAATTATTTATAATCCTGAGAAAACGGACATTGTCTTACACCACAAGAACGAAACTTCTATATCATTCACCTTCAATGAATTTGAGGAATTTTTACAGTTTCTCGATAATGTAAATGATGGTTGGTATGATGTAAATTTCTACATTGGAGAATTCATTTATGTTAGCTATTGGAATGAGGAAGAAAGTAAAGGTCTGACTATGGTGGATATGCGAACAATGGGAAAAATTTATTGGAATGAAAATCATCTTGATTTAATTCTAGAACATAAATATAACCTGTATGATATTTTTCTTAAATAAAAAATGGAAATAAAAAATTTATTCTGGCCTATTTCTTTTTCTCCTATACCAAAACCACAATAAATATCCCATAAATAAAACAACTACCTATGTAGAAATAGAAATATAAAGTGTTTTTTATTATCAATATTTCTACAACAAAAAAAATAATAAATTCCTCCTGAATCATTATGTCTTGATCTTGATGCGTTTTGACGTTTTCTCGATGCCGTTAACTATAAAAATTGAAAATGTTTTTAGTATTAATTTAATAATTTATATGGTATACTTACAATTCAACAATTTTGAAAATTGGTGTTGGATTCAGGCTTTTAATATCTCGCATGCCTTTAAATTTCAATCCAAATTTCCCAGCCTCGAAGTGCTGAATGTTTTGTTTAATTGAATCGGTTGCACGTTGAGGAAGAAAGGTAATGTTTTTATCCATTTCTACTCGGGCTACTTCTCCAAATTTTGAATTCACTATAGTCACACCCCGAATTGGATAGGGATGCTCTGGACTCAAATCTTGTAGCTTTAAGTAGGACTTTTCCTCAAGACAGGCTGCTTGGTTAATTTGGGGTAAATCCATGATTCTATTATTAAACTAAAAATAGAACAACGTATTATTATCAGGGTCTTTAAGAATAATGAAAAAAATTACTTACATAGTTTTTAGCACTAAATACACACAATCAATTATAACTGAGGTAACGCCCAATTTTGAATTAAGTTTTCGTTGAAAAATTCAATCTGGATGAGCACTGAAGAAAAACTTTGTGTCACCTAGGGACGTTAAAATCTAACTAAAATTTGAAAATGAATAACAACAACTAGCAGGCCAGCCAGCTGCGTTTCGTTATCGTCGCAGGAAATGCGGCTTCCGTGTGATAAGCAAGTTCGCACACAAGTTGCTGTTCTTCTTGTTGTTTGTTTATGAGAACGGTAGAAATTATAATTATTTTAAAAATAATATTTGGGGCCCCCCAATTAAATCGTTACAAGTCCGTGAAAAATGGGGCCCAAATTGGAGCACTATTTTTTCAATGATGATGATGATGTTGTCTTTTATGTGACCATATTTTTAGTTTAGAAAAATGGGGCCGACGACGACGAAAAAAGGGGGCCCAGTACGGCGTATCTTGGTACGAGGTACCAGGTACGAGGTACGAGGTAGCAGGTACGAGGTAGCAGGTACGAGGTACCAGGTACGAGATACGCGGTATCAAATTTCAGGTTATGAGTTCTAGGTACGTTGTACAAATTTCAAATTACCAGCACGAGATATGGGACATCAAATTTCAGGTTATGAGTTCTAGGCTACGTGCGCCTCAAAATTTGGGGGCCTGTATTGGTTTCATATACGATAATGGATAATGGGGCCGCGGGTCTAGCTGCGGAGACAAGTGGCCCCTTTCCGATTTTTCCCTAGATTT